CACCCAGCTGATGGAAACGCAGCGACAGATGACGGATGCATTGCTAATTTGTCGCGCTGCCATGGAGAATCAAAATGCTGAACTTGTCTCGGAATATCAGTTGAAAATTGAGCCAGACTTTGATGATGCCCGCAAAGTATTGCAGAAAGAAGTTGAAATGCCCAAAGATGATCCATTCCAGGAGAACAACAGCGGTGCTGCTAACAATGCTACCAATGGCTTCGACAACGATCCCTTCAGCGGGCAGGCTAGCAGCAAAGCCACGCCGGCTATCGGCGGCTTTGATGACAGCTTCAATATGAGCTCTGGCTTTGACAGTGGCTTCGATGCATTTGGCCAGAGCAGCGCCAGCGGATTTGGACAAACGCAACGCGATCCATTTGGTGGCGATGCGTTCGGTGCAAACAAATCAAATGCCATAACGCCAGAGGTGAGCTCTTCATGCTAATTTGTAAGATTAGATTAAAAATATTTATTGTATACGCAGCCTGGCAAAGATGATTTTGGCAGTGATCCGTTTGCGGCGCTGCACGCGCCCACGGGTCAGGGTCAGGTGCTTAGTCCCAATGCGCAACGTTCTGGCCCGCCACCCCGACCAGAATCACCTAGTCCAGCTTTACCACCAAAGAAATCCAAGGTTCCACCACCTCGACCAGCTCCACCACGCGCAGCACAGGTAAATTAATTTAAGTAATATAGTAATTTATTTGACAGACTAACAAATACTCTCAAATTTATAGCCTACCGGCGGCTTTGGCGCTGGCGGCGGCGGTGGAGGCGGAGGATTTGCTGACTTTGACGATTTTGACAATAAGGTTGGTAGCAAGTTTAATGTACGTTGGGATCGGTGGTAATGCATGCACATCGCACCGCCGCAATTATTAATTTGTTAAATAGTTGAAATTGTTTTCACACAATGTTAAGTTTTTGTTTGCATTAACATGGCATTATGTATGCATATATATATTAATATTTTACTACGATTCGATTATTTTCGTTATTAATTATTATCACTAACCCACCCTTCAATTATTTGTAGTTGTGTTAACTTATTCTTTGATTCACCTAAACGAAACCCCTTAACAAATAAAAAACATTCTGCACTCGAACATTTTATTTTTGGTTTAAGTAGAAATTTTAATTTAGTAATTTGACAATAGTTATATTGCTTATTGATTTGGGCAATAATGCAAATGCAAGAGGTACATATTCGATCCTTAAACACATTGCCTTAACTCTGCTGCCCGTACGAAACTAACTATTTGCTTTCATCTCTTGCAATTCTCTATTTTCAGTGAACATCTTAATAATAATCATATTTCAATAAATTCATATAAATATATATGTATACAGTTTATATATATATATATATAATATAATATTAACACGACACACACAGATAGACACAAACTCAGTCAGCAGTTGAGCCTAGCAACAAATTTGAAGCGTACAAAACCTAATTGCGTATACTATATAGACATTGCATATAGGACCCATATATCAGAGTTCGATCCGGCTGAGTATTCGTATTTGTATTACACACATGGCCGTTCAGCATACTCGCAGTTTTCATGCCTAATTAGATAAATGTACTAAATTCAATTCGAATCTGAAATCAATCAATTGATATATCAAAAACATAAGCAAAACAAAACGAAACCAAAAAGTAAAGTTATGTCGTGTTTAATGTAGTCAAAGTGTTTAAAGTTTAAATTTAACTAACGTCGCCACACTATGAAATGTTGTGCATTATTGTATTTAAATCATATTTACTTGAGATTTGCTTTCGTTTAAAGACCAAATAATCATATATACATTGCATACTATTATGGAGCATATTTCAGAAATTCTTAAATGCACGCCGAACCGTTTAGTTTGGATGAAATGCTAGTCTCGAAATGATTGATAGATTCATATATAACTCAATTAAGGAATTTAAATGCAAATTGTTGTTGTTTCTGCATATAATACTAAAGTTTATAGCAATTATACAAGACACACACATACATACATACACATATTTAATTGCATATATACAGCCTATGATCCACCATTAATATACATACATATATGCTCGAATTTCATTAGCCTGTAACTTCCAAGATGATTGCTTTACTATTGATTAAATAATTTTCCACAAATGGAAGTTACATCAATTGCTCGTGTACTCGAATTGCATTCCAACCGAAAGCTATATAGAATCAGCCGATTATAGAATCAAATTGTTAATACTTTTAAAAGACGCGTTGCCATCGACTAAGTGAAGTAGGAGCCATAGGATCGAATAACAATTGTTTTTCGTATGCACTCTGGATAATTGGTAAACGATAAATTATAGATAATCTAGTCCCACATCAGACTCTTGTTTGTACAATATGTTACGATATTTGTTTTGAGAGACATGCATACAATATATATATATACATGGAAATTATATATATATTTAGTACTATATACAACCACGAAACTGTTCACATACCGAAACCTAAAGCTTCCCGTACATTGATTTTAATGTTCAATACATAAATACTTATACATATAATGGGTACCCAAACTAACGTGTAACACCATCAAGTTTTGCATTATTAAACAAGAAAAATATCTAAATATGTTCGACATCATTAATAATAATAATAATTATAATAATAATGCATATAACAATTGAGTTATGATAAACAAAAATATAACCATAATGAGAGAATAAAGAAACATTTTTGTCGCATCCGGTTATATCAGCTTTGTTTCCTGCAGGTCTCCTTCCCCTACTTATCTTCTCCACAGCAGCTACACCCGAGTATATATATTATACTATATATATATAAAAGTTTAAAGTTTTTCATTTTATTATAATTTATGGTATTTGGTTTTAATTTGCCAATATTTGGTAAAGTTTGTCTAATTCATTGACTTAATAGTTTATTTTCTCTCTTCTTTTTTGTAAATTAATTTGATTTGTATTTATTTTTTCCTTCTACTCACAAAAACACACCGATTTGTTTGCTCATTTCCCACATCCACTGACACAGCTAAAAAACATTCCAATCGGTAATCCAAACACCACCACGCCCATACCGGCGCCTAATGCCACGCTGCTCGATAGCTTCTCGCTGTTTGATGACCCTCAAAGCCAGGGTAAGGCAGCCAGCACTAGTACACCAACACTGCCAACCCTGCACCCACAAGCCTCCACCCACACACTGCTATCGACATCATCGGCATCAGCATCGACATCGGCATCGGCAACGGCATTGACATCGGCATCGACATCAACATTGACATTATTATCTGCATTAGCATCCGCATCAGCCCCCACAGCAGTCAGCACAAATAACCAACATTTGTCGCGTTCCAATACACCGCTGCAGACACAGGCCACAACGGGAACCGGCTCAGCATCTTTAGCTGGTCTTATTGATGCCTTTGGCGGCAGCAATGTCAGCAGTATCAACAAGCCGGCTGCCACTCCAGTGCCTATAATACAAGGGCCAACCGACTTTAACGATGACCCCTTCAAGGACTATCGCTATGAGGATCCCTTCAATATCAAAGATCCCTTTGCAGATGATGATGAGAGCACGTCTGCAGGGGGAGCGAGCAAGAAGAACTTTGCCGAGGACTTCAGCTCGGAGGGTATGTGCTGCAGCAGTTTATAAATCAACTTCGTCCACATTAATCATACCATTTGATTTTCAGATGAGCTCCCCCCGAAGACCGTGAACAACAATAACAAATCAAAGACGGCCACACCCCTCAGCAGTGAATTGATGCATCAGTTTGATGCATTCAATCTGAATGCCAGTCCTGCACCTTCGCAAAAATCGGCCGCATCGAATCCGAAAGCACTGGATGCTTTTGCTGACTTTGACGACTTTGCGCTGGAGAAACCTGCAGAGGTTGGCGAAGCGACGAAGGGAACCACCAAAGCAAATCTGAACAAACTCAACGATTCCTTTTTCAATGCATTTAATGACAATTTCAATGACAACAACTTTAACTCAATCAGCTCGAAAAACAACGAACATGCTAAGGTCAACTCGAATGTGTCCGCGTTTGATGCTTTCGCTGTTCAGAGTACGACAGCGACAACAACAAAGAAATCGGACGCCAAGCTCTTTGATGCATTCAATGATAACTTCGAGGACAGCTTTGGATCTGTTAAGCCTGCAAACTCAACCACGTTGGATACTAATTTTGCTAAGTTTGATGCGTTCGATGTACACAACTTTTCCAACGACTTTGGCAAATCGCTCAACGACAGCAATGCAAACAAGGGCAAGCTGAATGGCAGTGGCAGCGGTACCACCAAGAAGAACCAGGAATCCCTGACCAAAAAAAATAATGAAAAGTTTGCAGCGGACTATTCGAAGCCCGAGAGCTATGACGCCGATCTGGAGGAGGCCCTCAAGCGGAGCATACTCGATAACTGAATTATTTGGCTAACCAAAAGCAGTTATTAATGTGATGTTGCATACGAACAATCTCGACATAAGCGATTTGCATGCTCGCATTAAACGGCTATATACTAACTAATACAGCTATACTATACAGCGTTTTAAAGCAACTTTCTAAACTGTAAAATACGCATGCTTTCAATTCTTATAGGTCATTTGGTGACTACAATATTGCAATAGTCGTGTATCTATACATATATATATATATATATATATATATATATATATATATATTCCATAGTGTTTACACTGCAGATACTTTGATTGTCTAAAACAAACCGAAAATGCTGGTATTATATTCATTATATCATATTTAATAGTTTAAATGTAATCGACATACACGTTAACGTGCTTCTAATAACGCGTTTGCGCATATGTATGTACACCAAAACTCTATGAATAAACCAAGAGCAATATATTAAACGCCTCTCGCTCACTAATACAATCATATCCGAGATCTGAGCTCCTAGCTCAGCGCTCTGAGCTCTGGCTCTAACGAACTGTTCTACTCCCGCTCTCTGGTTTCGTTCAGTGAGCGCTCTCCACTCGTATATTTTACGTTTCGATTTTTCAGTCACATTTCCGAGTTCGGCGCGAGCGGTCATAGAAAAGTAACTTGTTGCGTCTAGCATATAAATAAATAGAAATTATGTAAGTATATTAGTGCAAATGGATTTGGATGCGCACAATCCAAAAAGCAACATGCTGAGAGGGAACTTCTATAGGAAATTATACACGACTTGTTTATTAGCGCTGTTCTCACGACAATCACACGGACACACACGCACACATAAACACAAACATTAAAGCGCTATAAAAACGATTTGCCGGCAATGTCGATGTGTGTGACTTTAAAACAACAAACAAGACGCGATCTGGCAGTATTTTTCCTATTAGTTTGTGAATGTGTCATATCGCCCTCCATATGCATCTATATATACCTATACAAGTGTTAGTGTGAGTGTATGTGAGTGTGTTCCCCTACTAATTACATTTATATTGTTTGTGCTGCGCTGCGAATTCATGTTTGTATATAATAGTGCTTGTATATGAAGCGAGTGCCGGTGAGATCCCACACCGATATACCTGTACATAGCTTTGTACAGGTATTTATATATAACAAACAGCCTGCACACAGAGGTCGACTATACGGTGCAGCTGGGCATTAAACAGAGCTTTCACTGTGTGCACTCCTGATATTGTGTTATCAGCTGTAGGGGGGCTCACGGAGACAAGTCTTTTACATATGTACATATGTATTTGTAGGCATAGGGCAGGTACTACTGTCTGTGTAGATGTGTGAGTAAAGTAAACATACGATGAGCTTATCGCACAACCAGATATGATAGGTGTTTATTAATAGGCGTGTTTTAATCTAATATTATTTAAATGACTTGCAGCGCGAGCCATGTCGAAGCCAGCCCTCTATTACGCCACACTGAGCCCGCCCTCGCGCGCTGTCATGCTGACGGCCAAGGCAATTGGACTTGAACTTGAACTGCGGTAAGTGCAGCCCACACCCAATGCATTTGGCCAATTAATGAATTGTCTTTGTTTTGTAGCCCAATTAACCTATTGAAAGGTGAACATCTGACGCCAGAGTTTCTGAAATTGAATCCTCAGCACACGATTCCCACATTGATCGATGGCGATGCTACCATCATAGACTCGCATGCCATATGCGCCTATTTGGTGGAGAAATACGGCAAGGAACATGAGTCACTGTACCCCAAGGACTTGGTCAAACGCGCAAATGTAGATGCCCGCCTCCACCTGGACTCTGGCCACCTGTTCGCCCGTATGCGTTTCCTCTATGAACCAGTTATCTTCTCTGGCTCCACTGACTGTTCCGTTGATAAGATAGCCTATGTGCAGAAGTGCTATGAGATACTGGAGGGCTTCCTCAAGGATCAGACATACTTGTGCGGCAACGAGCTGACCATTGCCGACCTTTGCTGTGTGGCAACCGTGACATCCGTGAACGATGTTGCGCACATTGATGAGTTCAAGTTTCCCAAGGTGCACGCCTGGCTAAAGAAACTTTCGGAGCTGCCCTACTACAAGGCCACCAACGAGGAGGGTGCCGAGGAGCTGAAGGCACTCTTCAAGGCCAAACTAGCTGAGAATCGCTCCAAGTAGATTCAGTTATTAATATCCATATATGTTATATAGTAGCCGGCATTAGCTGGCGTTTCCTTGGTCAAGTTTATAAGTTTTTAACAAATACTTTTATTAGACTATCTTGGGTAAATAAATTATTTTATTTACCCGAGATATAGCTGTTCGTTTATTTTTGTTTTATTTTTTTTTTTTATATTATATAAATGTAAACTGTAACTGTTTCAATGCGATTTATTTGCAGGCAAAACTAAAAAATATATTTGACAGCATACTTTTCGGCATATCGAAAGTAAAAGCATTGTCTGATTGTTAAGAAAAGATTGCACATTCTTGGGCTTGGAATTTACTGCAGGATGCATAAATTAAAATGTAAATTTTCAAATGCGAATATTTCGAGTCAATACAGACCAATTTGGGAGCAACATACTTTTGTGAACTCGAAAATACAACGAATTTCGATTGACACTAAAGATTTCACATTGAATGTGCTTTCAATTTTTCAGCAACAAAGTTTTTGTTCCGCGAGCACCTGTATAGATAGATTATTTACCCATCCCTTCAGTAAGTAAACTTATATAAAAATTATCATTTTCATTATTTTTATTTTATCAATACACATACAATTAAATCCTATTATTTTATGTCTTTATTACATACACTGCACATACACTTTTATATCTTAACCTATTACGTCGTAGTATTACATAGCATTTACATACTACAATATTGTAATTATATCTTATATTACATTTAGCAACAATATTCTTAAAGGTACAATAACGGAAACGGAAATCGCCCTGGGGTGGACCGAAACGGCATTAAAGGCAGATCGGTGCATAGGTTTGATTTTCTACTTGCTTTCTCTTTTCCTTTTTTTTATGGAGGGGGGGTGGGGAGGGCTTAGTAGTAGCTGGTTTTTGAATTTAAATCGTCTTTCACTTTCAACTTTTGGTCTTTTCACTTTAAGGCAAAGCGCAAATTGTACATATTTAAAGGTATGTACGCATTTAAAGGTGCTGGGGGAAGGGGCGGTTCTTTAACATTGAGTAAAATTCATGTGATGCTTTTAAACATAATCTACGTATATAAAATATAAATATAAAGAACTGGTATCACGTAACCAAAATATTATAAGATATATCTACAGAATGAAAATACAAATTTCTTGACACATCCACCATCGACGCCGTCGACGAGATGCAACTAGAGATGGAGATGATGACAGACTATGACAGTAACTATTTTGCCTCTCCGATCAAGAGCCGCCTTTTTTTTGAGGGGGGCGGGCAAGTAACGTCGAGAGCGCCAACGGCGCATGTGAGGAATGAAATGTCAATGAACGACAGCTTCAACTTCAACTGTCTACAATATGCGTATAAAATATATATAAATGGGTAAACAGGCTATCACGACGCACGCTGATGCACAACAGTACAGAGCAACAGCACACACTCTATTACATAAAGTGTGTGTTTTGCTTCCTTTTCTTTTTATGTGTGAGTGTGTGCGCTTTGTCTCAGTTCCTAATCTCGACGCAATAAGAAGCGCTTAATGCTCTCGGGCAGTGGCAGCCGCGCAATGGAGCCGGTTGCGATGTGCTCCAGTATAACATTGCGACAAGCACTCTGCAAGGACAGTACTACAGAAACAAAAGAAAAGTAACAATTTCAATTGAACGAATCTAATTATAAATGGAATCTGATTACTCACTGCCTTCCAGTTGTATGATGCGTATTTGCTTTGTCGTGCCATAAACATCAATAACAACGTACAAAGGTGACCTATTTAATGGTATTTCCTTTGACACTGGGCCCTTGTCCACGCCATTAATAATGAAGTGTAATTCGCCTTTGGATGCATCGGTCTCTGTGGGCACATACATGATGCCAATGCGCGAGCCTCTGTCTGTGAGCAGTATATCCGAGTTTCCATTGTCCATCGATGGACGCAACAGTCTCTTGGGCAGTAAGCCACGCGGCGTACGCACATGCGTTGCATCACCAAGTAGATTACCTACGGATTAAAGCAATTGAGCAATGATCCAGGGCTATTGGGGATCTCACTTTTACTCACGTTGGGGCGGCTCATTGGCTATAAAATCGACATTTTCGCCGGCTTGCTCTTGACGTTGATTCATTTCAAATTTTGAGATCGGATATATCCAGCTGTTTCCTAAATTGGCCAAGTCAGGCAACGCAAAGTGCGGCAATCCTTCGCTCCGCATGCCAATTACGTTTGGTGTCAGCTCCGTCAGGCCCAGTCGCATGTGTCCCGACCATCCCCGTTCGATTTTTTCAATCTCCACCAGAAATATTTCGCCGGGCGCCTACACGGAATTAATCAATTAACATTCACGGTTTGATACACTTGCACACACACACATACTACACTCACAAACACACACATATACATCCCATGTAGATACATAGAGATTAACAATGCTTACCAGCGGTCGCTCGGAGAAGGTGAGAGCATCGGCGAAGCTAGTGCGTCGAAAGGCGACTGTTGCATCGTCATCTAAGCGTATGTTGGAGCCATGGTATGGATGAAACCGAAAGAGCTGACGTTCCCACACACCAGCACCAGTTGTTGCGATTTTTGCATCATTCACAATTGCTGCGGCATCGATCTGTTCTCGGTCCGCCTCATTGTTGCCGGCGAAGTCGGCTAGATGCGGCGCCTGGTGGTTGTCATCAACGGCATCCATGATTTGTTGTATTGTTTATTTCTACCATATGTATTTTTTTATTTGTGTAAATTTTAAGTTGATCAGAGTGACATGGGACTAGTGTTGAGTAATGTGAAACTAGCTACTATTTATTCCCTGTGTTGGTAAGCGCGCGCATTCGCTTTTGACGTAACAGCGAACAGCTGATTGCAGCGGCAGACAAACGGCGAAAAACACGGTGAATTAAAATAAAATTGTAAATGCTGAAAGAAAATGTGATTAAATATATTCATTTGCAGATGCGTATCCCAGGAGCACTCTATGCGGCACGTGGGCGCAAGCCACAAAACGAGAAGGATGTGCCATTTCAGGAGATACTGCCGCTGCGCCTGAAGAACACGGTCAGCGGCAAGGCAGACTCTGGCTCCGATGTCGCCTGCCTGCAGGAGATGGGTGTGCTGTTTGCCTGCCTCAAGGACAACGAGTTCGTGGAGAAGTACTGCCACAAGGAGATTAGTCAATTTCAGAATTGCTACAAATTCTACATGGATCGCAAGTTCGAGGCGAAACAGACGGTCAACCAGGGCATTGTGCAACCCGGCAACAATCTGAACTACAAACAGTTAAACAAATACATGAGACGCTTTCCCAATCCTCAATAGTTCGTCAATAGTGGTGCCCAATGATTTGTTAAGCATTTTAATACATATGCAAATTATTTACAAAGTCTTTTCAGTGTTTTTGCTATTCATAATTAATTTTAGTAGACAACATCCGCATCGCCCAGGCCCGCAGAGGATTGACTCACAGGTGAAGGCTGGCTCAGCACAAAGTTCGACATATTTCGCAAGCTGTGAAATGGCGTGTGCTGTTGTTGCTGCTGGTGCTGTTCGTAGATCTCCGCATCGTTGGAGGCGTATGACTTGCAGTTGAAGTGCTGCAGGGAGTTGCGCGGCAAGGCGAGATTGATGTGCAGCGGATAGCCACCATGCTCCCAGGTCTCTGTCAACAGGGCCAAGCTGCGATTGGCTTCCAGTACGCGAGCGCGCTGATAGTTAAGTCTCTCCTGCTGCAGCTCTGACCATTGCTCCTGTGAAGCAAGCAGATCTCATTTATATGTATTACTGTCTATACAGTTATGCTACTTACAAATCGTGTGCCTAAACGCCCAAAGTATTTAATCTGCTCCTGGACATTGAGCACCTGCTGCATATAGAAATCACGTGCCTTCTCCACGCCATCCAGGCCGAAGAGCAGCAACTCTCGCTGCTCCTCCAAATGCTTCAGTCGCTTCAGCATATTGTAGTCAATGCCATGCTGCAAGGTGTGCCTCCGTGAGTCTCGTCGCTTATTATTCGATTTTTTGGGTGGCTGCGCCAGCGTCATTGCTCCCATCGTATAGTCCGTTGCCGAGGTGGAGGACGAGCCGCCATCGGCTGAGCCGCGATGCTCGAATTGCTCGCGTGCAGTCTTCAAGCTCTTCTGCTCGCTGTGCATGAGGCTGAGCTGCCAGTTCTGCAGCGCATTGCGTATGTCTGCCTTGGCTAACGGAGTAGCTCCTGCGGATTGACGCGGTGGCTTTGGCGGCGGCGCTGGCGTACCATAATCCATTTCGTGCTCCAGCTCTGGACTGATCTGCGATCGTGGACGCACCTTTGCTGTGGGCGCACTGCCGTCCAGACCCAGACCGAGCAGCTGTGGCGCTGACGGCGGACGCGGCGGCTTGGTCAACTTATCGTGGATTTGTAGCTGCTGCAAATGCTGCGTCTGCTGCTGCTGATTGCGCAACAGGCACAGCTTCAGTCCCGCACAGAAACGTTCGAAGGATAACAGACCGCTAGGCGGCGTCACGCGACGCAGCGAATCCAGCACACCTTGAGGCAGACCCTTGGACCCATCGTCCTGCCAGCCCTTCTCAATGTCCGCAAAGCGCACATAGCCGCTCTGCTTATCATCCAGAATGTCGAAGAGCTTCTTCATGGACAACACGAATTGTTTGGGCAGCGCATCCAGCGAACTTAGGCTGCCGCTCTTGCTGGACAACATCTTCTAAATTAGAAATTAGTAACAGACTAAAATAAAAACAAAAATGGAAAGCGTGCATAAATAATAATCAACATACATATGTATTTCTTAGATTTCGCCCACACTTTTTGCGCTCAATGCATATTTTTGAATAATCATAACGAAAGACTTAGGCAACGAACTAAGACAATGATGCGAACGAGCGGCATCATCGAAGCTTTGTTTATACACAAACATTTAAACAATTTGTGGCTAAATAACTCACTTGCTCTGCTGCTGGTTGCGGAAACTGGATATGCGGTTCTATGGCAGCCTCTTGAGGCCGTTCGTCAAGGCTTTGTTTGGCTTGCTCAATTTGACGTTACTTGAAATGAGTTTTTCTTTTATTTTGCAGCTATGCAATGCAGCTGGAAGAGCGGGCAACACATCCAAACCCAACCGACTGGTTGGGCAGACTGCAAAGCCGCGCTAAGCAAAGCGCACGCATGCGCAACTGGTTGAGTGGCTGGCGGGACAGGTTTTCAATTTTAGTTTAGGGAGACACACACACACACACATGCACACACTCTCAAACAACACCAATACCAAGAGCAGAACGCGTGCCATAGCCTAGCTGTAGTTGTAGCTGTATCCCCCCTGGAGCAGAAAAATCACAGTGGTACAATTATAGCAGAAATATTTATTAGTAGAAATTCAATGCGTATTCAGTCAAGGATAGCTAATTGCTTACTTAAGCACACACGCACACACATACATGAGTGTGTGTCTATGTGTATGTATGTTAGTTATGTTCATGTATTTGCTTGCAAGAAATGCAAACTCTGCGCAGTCCATGTTCATCGGATCGCTAGAATGAGCATTTCATGCCACACGCTCTAAATGCTAAATGTGTGTTTAGTTTATTCTAGATTATTCTGCCCTACAAATCGGCGACAGACTTTCGGCGCACGTATTTGGCAAAGTAGTCGGGACGCCAGCACTTGCAGGAGCCGGGTATCAAGAACCAGTCGTAGTAGAGCCGCACCTGGAAGCAGCCCAGCTCATCGTGCCCATCGCAGTGCGCATCGGCCGGAGCACTCTGGGCGCCAGCGCCCTGGACACCAGTGCTGCCATCGGAGGCAGTGGCCACGCCGGCACGCTTCTGCAGATACTGCTGATAGGCCTGGAAGTCCTGCACGGATGGAGTCTGTGTCGTCGTGCTGCTGCTTGGCACCGTGTCCTCTGCATTCGGATAGAAAATCTCGGCGACCAGCAGACTCACCCAGCGTGGCGATGACAAACAGCCGCCATCCAGATAGTGGCAGCGTGCCTGGATGCAGCGCGTCACCTCCACAGTCTGCGTGAAGTAGCCCTCATAGGGTATCTGCACCACATAGCGCCAGGCGCCCTGATAGTTCTTGGCGAACACGGGCGTGGCATACTCCACCTTGGCCGGGCAGGGCGTGGGCGGTCCCTCATAGCGTATGGGTCCCACTTCTTCGCGCCGCTCCGCTGTCTGTGCGGCGGACACAGCGGGGCTGGTGTCGCCCTGAATGGCGCGATAAAGCGTGCAGAAGCTGTAAACGAAATCGAGAATCGGATATGATGAGCCCCATATATATGTATAGCTTAACAATTTGAGAAAGTGGACTTACACTCCACCTCCATCGCAGAACTTGCGTGGCTTGCGCTCCTCGGCAGCGCGTCGCTGCTCTTGCAGCTTCTTCTGCTGCTGCTCCTCCTCATCTAGAGCGGGATCAAAGTAGCTATACTCATTGGGCACCACGCCGTCCGGCAAGCTGCGCGTGACGCGGGTGGCATAATGCCGATCGATGTTGTTGTTGTCCAGCTGATCCACCGGCTCGTCGCGAATGATCTGTGTCACCTTGGGCAGCGTGTCGTCCGCCTTAAGCACGGGCAACGTCTTCGACAGGAACTTCAGAGTCTGATTGCGTATCAGTTCGCTGCGAGAGGGAAACCAATTGATGCTACGTGGGAATGTGTAAGGATATGCATTCACTTACAAGGGATACGGTTCGCCGAGCACATTCTGACCCAGCGGATTCTTGGGAATTTGTCCCTTATTCAAGTCGCCGCAGATATTGTGCACGGACACCGCCGATTTCTTGCCGGAGGCCACATCCTTGCAGTCCGCATTGATGAACGTGTACGGCGGTGGACGCACTCGTGGCGGCACGGCATTCGGAGACTCCACAAATGCATAATAGCCCTCCGGCGGCTCCTCGCCGTAGTCTGTTTGCGATTGTGGGGCAGACTGCGCCGTCGACAGCTGAGCGAGCAGCAAAAAGCTAAGTATTTTCTAAAGATAAACGAGTTTGGACATCAAATGTGTAATTTATATATATTTTATGTGCATAAAGAACGCGACAGTATAAATCAAATTAATTGCTATTTGAATGGCTCGCATTGTGGCATTGGTCATGGCCCCTGGCTCCGTGCTCCGCCATGCCCCAATGGGCACAAAGACGCGCTCTCAGCCGACGTTTGGCGAAAGCGCGAAAGTTGTTCGCCAGCATCAAAATAAACAAACTGAAACAACAACAACAACAACAGCAACAACAACGAATGGCACTGACCAAGAGTGTGACTTTTGCATCTTAATCTCATTGTGGGGGTACTTGAGGAAAAAAAACTTTCCCTGAAATTCTGTCAGCTTCTTTATTTTCCTCTTCGTCTGCGTCTCTGTTTGAATGAAATCAAAAGTTTCAGAATGTCTCAAGCTTTTCGGGTCAAGTAGGTGACTCTGTTTTTCCCTCACACTCTTTTTTAATTTTTTGTGTGCATATTTGGGCCAACACTCTGAGAATCTCATGAAACTCAACTGTGCCCAACAATTTCGTATGGGATGCGGGTGTTCAGCTCTTTTGTGCTTTGCATCTCGTTCGTGACATGATTCACAGCCACACAAACAAAATTCGGCATTCCGAAAGAGCGAAAATTGGGTCAGCCACGGTCTGTTGTTGATTTTGAATTCTTTTTTTTTACTTTTTTATAATTTGTATTTATTCTAATGAGCAATGCGTTGCCGTTGTCGTGGTAGTTTGTGTTTGTCTCTTCGATATCCATCTCGTTATGCGTAAAACTAGTTTGATTCGGTTTCTTTATTTCGGGGACTGAGATTGGGATCGCCTTTTGCCCTTTTGGGATGATTGGCCTTTCAAACAGCAGCATTTTCTCTGACTGCCATCTAATTGCAATTCGAGTGCTGGCCGCATTCGGAGCCAGAGTTAACTGCAACAGCTGCCGTAGCTGTAACTGACAGAGACTTTGCTGGCCAGCTAATTACTATATTTAAGGCTGACTTAATACAAAGCACCGCTGCTCAACGGGGCCAGAATTTGTCGCTACTTTGTGTATGTATGTGCATGTGTGTGTGTGGTGTGCGTGCTATTAAATTGTTCTAAATACGTTTAAGTAACGGGAAAGTTGCTCTATGCCAGGCTTAAATAACAGCCACTCGATGCGTGTGTATGTGTGTGTGTGTGTGTTTTTGTGTGTAGCTCCGGTCGATTGGCCCGTCACTTTAATTCATTAGCATGTCTATATAAAAACAGCCAATTGCTCCAGAATTTATGCTAACAGTAAATGCCAGAACCCAGTGCAAAACAAAACACTTGGGCAACAAACTTGATTTCGAGTATACATTTTAACAACATTGCCGCACTTACCACCAGTAAACGATAATCCATGTTGGCCAACTTTAATAGCCTTTTATTTAGTTGCCCAGCAAAACGAGACACACAAGAATTTTCCTTTTGTTTTTTTGTTGTTGTCACTTTTCCAACTTTGTCGTGTTGCGCTACACAGAACTCGACGCGTCAAGTGCAGTAAATGAACTGAACCTCTGAATGCTCAACCAGCAGACATTGAACCTCTGATTTTGAACTTGGCCAACACGGTTAGCCGCGAAGAGAGAGTTTGGAGTGCCGACTCGACTAGCCGCAGAAAGTTGTAAAGAAAGCTTCGGCTCAGAGTTCTGCAGCAGCAACTCAAAGACAACTTTCGAGAGAGCCGCACAAGTGGCATACAGCAAGAGCTGTGGCATGCTTTTAGGAGCAAGTGGCATGAACCTGTGGCATATACGCAGGCGATCGATATAATGCACCAGAAGATACTTTTAGCAGTTACTGCCTTTAGGCCTCCACAAAGTTTCGTTGTTTCAATTTATAGATTGGCAAATTTTATATCCAACAATTTCACGTTTATTCATGAATACAATGTACATTACACAATTCATCAATTAATAAACATGCTCCTAACATACAATAGTTGAATCATTCTCATTTATATATATGTATATATATATATCTATATAATTGATATATAATAATAAAGTGTTTTACATTATGCAATAAACAATGTTTCAAAGTCTTTCAACATTTGTTATCAATATAATGTTTTGGTTTAATGCTTTCTTACACATACAATATACATTATAAAATGTATAACTCTTACGATCTAAAATATATATATAAAGAAAAAGAAATCTGCAGCTGTGCCTGGTTTTTTTTTTGTTTGTTTTTTTTTTTAATCTTTGTATATATAAAGTATGTTTTTCAAATATTAAAATACAAATACTAGATGTAGTAATTGAATTGAATATATACACATATATGCCTACATTCAGTGGAGAACGTATGCATATAAATACGCAGCTTGAAACTTGGTTTCGTTACGAAAACTAATGTTTTTTCTTCATCTTCCTCTTCTATATATGCCTTGCACGGACTGCTCTAAATCGAGTGTATATAACAAAAAATATTATTGCATTTGTTTGCATGAAAAGAAATAAAAATCAAATCATATTGTACTTTCGCATTAAACTAAATAAATAATAATATACAATGCAATGTCAATTGTTTTAAAAATTTTCCCGATTTAGTTAACAATCGTCTCTTGTTCATAATAAATTAACTTAAAACCAAATCAAAAACAAAAGCTGATTAACTCTCGCTCCTAAACTAGCTTAAATATATATAAGTATATGCTCATTTAATGCTATATACGAGTATGTGTATATATGTTTGTAAATCGCAAATTGTTAAAGTAAACGTTGTGTATAACATCTTGTAGCTTACAACTATATGTGTATATGTATGTATATACGGATGCAACTGCATCGATCGAAATATTCAATATAAAGTAAACTTTAGGCTTAAATCTATAGTGCGTTTTGTGTGTGAGTGATTCTGATTCCAAATCGAATAACAATATCGTCATTAATTCTTGGGGGAGACGGTAATTAACTTGTGTGGCGTCACAGGTGAAATCTGAGTTCATATATCGGTTATTAATTAATCACATTCACTAAGTGGTGCGGGACTAACTTACCCATAAGGAGCGACCCATGTATGAATCATCATCGTCCTCAATCAAGCCGCTCGTATGATGATGGTTCTGCTGGTCTATAAAAAGCAGCGTGTCCTTGCTGCAGGTGTTGGCTGAGTTGCGCAGGAGCGAAGATAGCGTTTCGCTGCACTCGCGCAACTTGTAATTGGAGCTGGTGGAGAATGAGTGCCGCAGACTGAGGCTAGCCGCTGCAGCCTGATGTTGGTGCTGCT